ACCAGAATTACTAGAAAATCAAACAGAGCAACAGACAAAAGATTTTAAAAATAAATCAGATCTGTTTAGAAAGGCAAACAGTTATGCCAAATCAGTAATTGAGAATGCAGTCACAGAAGATACATACCAAAAGATAATGGACAAGAACACAGCGTTTGAAGTTTGGGAAGAATTAAAAAGAAATTTTGAAGCGTCAACTAAGGACCAACTGTTCCAAGTTTGTAGCAATTTTTTCGATTTCAATTGGATAGCGGCTGTAGATGTATCCGGCCAAATTGCAAGATTGAAGACTTTATGGAACGAATTAAACAGTGGGCTTCAGGCATCGGGAGAAAATAAACTACCAGAGCTGCTATTAGTATGCAAAGCGATGCAGATTCTCCCAAATAGTTTCCAAAACTTTAAATCAAGTTGGCTAGTGCTAGGTGAAGAAAAGCAGTCGATAGATGATTTAATCACTCATCTCTGTGCTTTCGAAAGAGAGATGAAGACTTTCGACACAATCGATAAATCATCAAGGCAGAACGCCTTAGTTGTAAATGTTGAAAAGCCAAGTTTCAACAAATCAAGAGATTTCACTAAAAGGACAAAACCAGTTGGTAACTGCAACTATTGCCATAAACCTGGACACTGGGTTAAGCAATGTAGAAAGTGGGTCAGTGATGGAAGACCTTCTAAAAATTCCAAAAATGTTTCAGCGACACCAAGAAAAGCATATGATGAAACATCAAATGTAGTTTTGTGCACGTCAGCCAGTAATCAAACACTGAGAGACAACACTAAGTGGTATATTGACAATGGAGCAACAAAGCACCTAACGAACAATCCAGATAATTTTGTTACTTTTGAAAAGTTTGTCGCACCATGTTCTGTTCAAGCTGCAGGAAAAGAAGTTCTTGCTGCTGTGGGTAGAGGCGAAATAAATATGCTGTCAACAGTAAATAACAAACAACAGTATATAAAACTCTCAGATGTCTGGTATGTTCCAAATATAGGTAGAAACCTGTTTTCCATATTAGCCGCACAAGATAAAATTTTAAAAAATAGCAAGTTTGAATCATATGCAACCAAATGTCAACTCAGTATAAAGAACCGAGTGGTAGTACAAGGGACAAGACGAGTAGATGGTTCCTTGTATGAGGCAAACTTGATTTCATTAACTCCAGATACACCGGCTGAAGTGAATATAGTCAGTAAAAATTCAATAGTGCAAGCTCTACCATGAACGTTTTGGTCATCAAGATAAACGTCACATAAAGAATGTTATAGAAAAGGAGTTAAACATTAAAGTTTATCTTGACAAGGATTTGTGTGAACCATGTCTCTATGGTAAAGCACATCGGTTAAAATTTGGCAAGAGAAATGCAACCAATAAACCAGGTGAACTACTATCAGCAGATGTTTGTGGTCCTTTCACTACAGAATCATTTAATAGTAAACGATATTTTGTTGTTTTCAAAGATCATTACAGCAAAATGAGGTTCATTTCTTTTCTTAAACACAAAAATGAAGTGAAACAGGCACTACAAAATATTTTGTCTCAAGCAGCGACTCAAGGTCATAAAGTAAAAGAATTTTTGAGTGACAATGGAGGTGAGTTTGACAACGAAGAAGTTCGAAACATCCTGCGCAGCCATGGAATCACGCAAAGATTAACAGCACCATATACACCTCAACAAAATGGTGGTAGTGAACGTGAAAACAGAACAATAGTAGAAATGGCACTCACATTGAAGTACTCAAATCCAGATTTTGAATTTCCAGTTGCTATGTGGGCTGAGTTATGTTCAGCTGCAGTATATTTACTTAATCGAACAGGCAAGTCGTCGATTGAAGATAAAAGCCCATTTGAAATTTAGACAGGTAAAAAGCCGAGAATTAACCATTTGAGAATAATTGGCTCTACATGTTTTGTTCACATACCTGATCAAAAACGTCAAAAAATGGATAAGAAAGCCATAAAAGGTTACCTTGTTGGTTACGATGGTGACGAACGCTATCGTATATGGCTCAAAAATCAATATAAAATGATATTCTCAAGAGATGTAGTTTTCCAAGAAAAACCTATGAAATGTACAACATTTGAACATCAGACTCAAAAAGATTTTACAACAGATCCTCAAATCAGAAAATGACTCGAGTAGTAGAAATGATGATTCAAAAGAAGAAATTACAGATGACACTGAGAAGATTATAGATAATTCAGTTAAAGTTCAACTCAGAGATAGGTCAAGCTTACAGAAACCTAAGAAGTTAGATGATTATGTGATGCAGGCTGAGACATATTTATTAGATGTACATGAACCAGATACATACGAAGAAGCCATTCAAAGCAGAGTCCGACTGAAACTCCTGTGTGGACATATGGGACTAATGTCATAAAATGTTTTGAAACAAGGGAAAGTATTGAAATAATATATATGTATATTATATATGTTTCAATATATTTATGACTTTCAATAGTTTTCAGACAATCTTATATTATTGCTAACTTGACTAACTTGCACGTGTATGCTTTTCGCTTTTTGTCGACTAACGTGTAACATTTTTTTTCTCACGCTGGGTTTTCTAATATTTCAATTAACGTTTCTTTAATAAACAATTATATTAAAAACAAACAAAGAAGTTTTTTATTTTAAACAAAACACACAAACAGAAAAAAGTGTACAACACCATCGACAAAAATGACCGCCATGTATCCAGCAACCGTGAAAGGTTGCAGTACTAAACTCTCGATGCCTCCAGTCAGTGCACCTATGTTAGTGCCTTAATTAACAGTAAATGTTAAACAAAATTAACCGTGTATAGTCCCTCACAAAAACAACAATGAAACACGAAACCTCTAGAAAATTTTTAAAATTATTATATAACTTAAACGGAGAAAATTTATTAGAAATTTAGAAAATCGAAATTCCACTATCGCTCACCATTTTCATCATTTAATCATTTTTTTTCCCACGCTGGGTTTCAACAATTTTGTGATGATAACGGTTAAGATCGAGCTGATGTGATTGATTGACCATTGTTAGTATACTACTTTGGTTTTCGGTTGCATCTATATTTCATTTGTGCACGTTTCAGCAGCAGCTAAAGTTATTCTTTCCTCGAAACTTTAAAATTAAAGGGTGATCTTTCACCATTTTTACTCTGCATGAGACCCTTTTAATTATTAGTTTTGACTGTGTCGTTTACAATTATTGTTGCTGCTGCTATGTTATTAAATATGCTGATCATTACTCTAAGATCTTCGTTGATGTTGACGATGCATGATTAACTTCTTCCCGCTGGTCACATTTCATCCGCTTCTGTGTTGAGTTCTAGCATTTTTTATCTACAAACATCCATTTGAATTTTTAAACATGACTCCAGCTTTTTGATCTTTTTGGTGTTATGTTCAATATCATATTGTTATCCTTCATTCCAATTCTAATTTTTTATTTTAATTTTTTGCGTTACTATGTGAGATAAGGACAGGTTTATATTTCTGTTTCTAGTTTCAACTAAATCTTAGATGAATAACTCTCTAAAAGACTGCAACACTAATGAATCTGTAATAACCAATCTGACAATATCTGAAATTTAGTTTGCACACTAAAAACTAAATATTTATAAGAAAAATCACGAACGGATAACTCTGTTAAATATCAAACCGCCATGTTATTCTTTTAATCGGAAAACTGGTTTTCTATATTTTTTGGTTTAATTTGCACTTTAATTTTCAATTCTTTTTCTCAAAAAATTATATTTATTTTTTGTTTGGTTAAAAATGTACACATATATTCATTGTCTTGATTTTATTCTTGAAACGAATCTTGAATCAATGAACACCGTCAAATTTTGTAATCCACCACAAGTTGAATAAACACAAATCATTCAATAAAATGTACGTGCTGAGAGACTTGTAAGTATCACAAAATTCTTTAAACCACACAAACATACACACGCGCGCGCACACGCACATATATATGCATGTGTATGTATATATATAGACACAAGATCATCATATATATATATATATATATATATATATATCTATATATATATATATATATATATATATCTAACAAAAAACCTAATGAAATATCGCAAAATGAAAACATGCATTATGCAAAATGAAATTAGAGTTGCTGGTGAATATGTTTATAAAAATATAAATGTAATTAATACAGAATTGTTTTGACAAAATCATTTTTAGAGTAACTCGTACATATGAATTAGATCAAATAAAATAAAAATTGTAAAAAAAACGTTGATACAAGATTAACCCGCATGTGTATATATCCTTAAACGTGACCAGACCATGAAAAATGTAACTCAGAATAAAAAAATACAATAAAATATGCTAGAAACAAATTGACCACTTCCAACCAGCAAGCACCTACACTCGTCGCTAAAAACGACGATGAAAATGTGATTATACCTAGACCATAATCATGAAAATAAATGTTGAGTGACCATTTTACTATCATGTTTCCTATCAGCATTTTTGAAACGTTAATCAAATTAACTTTTGAATTCATTAACATTGATGACAAATATATTTTGTAAATGCAATCGCACAAAGAAAAAATAAACCAGCCTAGTGAACAGTGAGCTAGGTTGACTAGAATGAAAATTTTTTATTCTAAAAAACTTAATACACGTAATAAAATATAAAGAAAATGGAAGTGGATGTTTTTAAATATTTTAAAAGAAGACAAAAAATTCCATATTTTCATGAAATACTGTAGTTTTTTTTAATACTACTATTATTATCATTATTATTATTAATATTATTTATGCAATTATTATCTTCATATCAATGAATGTCGTCATCAAGTATTCAACCGAAGCAACAGTTATTATTGACGCCCTGTACGCATACACACAAACACACACACACACACACACACACACACACACACACACATATATATATATATATATATATATATATGAAAATTGTATTGTGAAATAAATGAATTTATTTGTTTATTGGAAGAATTTAGCTTAGAGACATGTTATGAAGGTAAATATGATTTCAACTCTAAAAATACGTTGGCGAAAAATGTTGGATCTCTATTTATTTTCAACATGTCGGAACTTCTAGTATTAATTATTCGAAGACACCTATCCCAAAAATGTTGACTAGCCTCGTGGTTGACGAGGAAAGGTTTGGATGGGTAGCTTATTTCGTTGCCCATGTACGTGTAAGCGAGGTAAAAACAAGTCAGGACCAATGCCTGCAGATTGTTGACGTCGATGATTTCGTCCATGAGTGGTGTTTCAAGTTCTGAACTGACGAGAAAGTATATGAAAATGATATTAGCCGGATTGATAAAGGCAACATCTTGCCATCCCTGGGATAGAAGTGACCGATCGACGTATTTCAACCACGATAAAGTTTTTGACGAATCAAATTCTTTCAAGTGAGAACAGCGTTTCTTGAAAAACCCCCCTAAACAAAGAAGTAATTCCGGCGTTGTTGCGTGCATGATACGTTTTCTAGAATAAATGTTAGTAGTTATATTGAGAGAATTTTCGTTCTGATAAAAAACGGAAACATAAATCGGACTGGTTTTCATTTGACTTGCAATTACATTTCTAATATTGTTCTTAAGAACATTCTTGCCGAAAAAGCTATTTTTGCGTAATCCATTATGTGTTTGACCATCATATTCAAAAATGTTGTTGTTAATTACGCGTTCCAAAAAATTGTCATCGGCATTGTAGCAGTTTTCAAGTTTGGTTGTTTTAGATTTGTCAGATAGGAAAGCCTGGTTTTCAAACGACGTCTCCAGTAGCGAAAATTTTGATATTAAATTCAAGCAATCTTGCCAACCAACGACTTCTTGCTGTTTCAAATTTTTTTTGTCGGCATTTAATATTAGTTTTTCTTTGTAACAATTGTTATATACACAATCACACGAATCATTAATAATGCACGGCTTGTAACTGTTGTCAGCTGGTGGTTTTGACAAAGTTTTATCCAATTTTTTTCCCGGTGTCAGAATAATGTAGTTGTTGTTTTCGAAATCACTCGGTCCCACGTTGTTGCTATTTTTTTTATTCTGGATAAAACAAACCGGTTTGAGTTGCTTCAATTTAAGATGTTTAAAATCAATTGTTTGATTCAGTGATTTTGATGAAGTTCCGTTTTTCATATTATGGAAGACATTTAAAAACGATAAAGAAGAAGACGATTTTGTTTTCAAATTTCTGTTATTGTTGATGTTTTTATTATCAATATCATCAAATTTGACATACGACAAACTTTCCGACACCCCGTTTCTTCTATACGAAATCGGAAAATAATCATTTTCACGTACCTTATGATGGTAAGATGTTGACGCTCCCATTTCAGTAAATTTTAGAAAAATTGTGTTGAAAATTCATTACGATATTCCAATTTATTACTGTTTTAAAACGAAATAACCACTGGATAGCGCTTCTTATGTTTCCTAGTACAAGCAGACACAAAAACAACGCTAGCTTATTGATTTTCAGACTGCTTAATGTATGCACATAAATTTGAATCGTATTTTGCGATCATTTTGCTAATTTTCTTTTTTCAATTTAAATAATTTCATTAACTCATGAAACTTGAAAAACACATTTTTTTTATAAATTTGTTTCGGTATATTATTGATAAATCAATTAAAATTGAAATTTCAATTAAACAACTTTTGACAGGTTGAAGCATGCGTTTAATATGGTTTTTAAAAATTTCTATAAATTATAACTTGTAATTTAAAAAAACATAACCACATCAGTATTTATAAAAATTAACTTTGAAACCACAAACGTGACCGCGGTAGCCTTAGCGAGGCGAGACCGAGGCATTACTTCATGAGGGCACGTTTTCATGTATTCAATTATGTTTAAAAAATACTATATTTAAAACTTCAATGGTGATTTCTGAAGGCAATTAATAAATTAGATGAAGTAGAAACGATTAAAACGAACATATTTATTTAGCCTATTCACTAAGCGCGCGTATAATAAATCATTTCAAATCGAGTTTGAAAACTTAATGTACAAGTTGTACAGATATAATAAATAGGCAAATTTGAAAAAGACGGAGACGGGAGTCGGAAATTGTTTACCCGGAATCGAAGTCGGAATTTTTTGAGGAGCCGGAGTCTGAGTCGGCATCAGATATTTTTTATCTACTCTGGTATTCAGCGGCGGATCAAGGTGGAGCTTGGAGGCCAGCGCCCCCAACGTTGTGAGTAGTATTTGCATTAAAAGTCAGTATAAGTCATTGTTTAAACTGTTGTTTTTGTTTCAAAAACCTTCTCTTTTTACTTTAGCCATGTGCTTCTTGTATATAAGTCGAGTACTATACGAGGCGTGTAACCAATTTCCAGCCCCACCATCCATAGTCTATAAAACTACACCAGACAGGTCTAAAAAAGCTTTATGTCAAAGGTATTATAAGTATATGTCAGAGACTCAACCTATAATCATTCACACAACTAGTTTTTTTTATTTATCGATCACCTCACTCACTAAGTCATCATCTAGTCTATTAATTTGCGTTTTTATGCCATTACTTCATTTTATTGTCAATTTATTTTTCTTTTATTTATTTTATTATTATTATTTATTTTATTTTTCATGTTTAAACATTTTTCTTTCTCCGTTTTTTTATTTATTTATTTACCTATTTGTTTAATTTTGTACTACTGCTTTGCATGCTGTAACAGTTTCCTCGCCTGTCAGATCCTGATTTTTAAAGAATAATAAAAAAAACCTCGACCCCTCTCCTCACTCTAGCCATGCCATTAATACTGGTCTTTTTGTTTTTTGTTTGCGTTTTACCTTGAGCTCAAACAAAATATTTGATTTGAAAAGAAATGACATAAAGATATTGAGTAAATACGCAAAATTGTAAAGCCGAAATGGTGTAAAAGGAAAAAAAATGTATGTGAAAGGTGTAAAACTTTTTCGAATAATTTATAATCGAATTCAAGTTTAGCCATTTAATATAAACCAGTGGCGGAAGTAAGAAAGGTTGTCAATGTGCGCAATTTTCATTGAAAAATTGAAGCGGTAAACGAACGTGTCGTGATTGCGGCTCGCACTCTTCTCTTACCTCACTAAACACCTAAACGGGAACCGTTTGAAAGATGATTCGAACAAAATCTCAAGCTGATGCTCACGTTTACAGTCAGTTAAAACAGATGAAATCCAAGCAGGAGGTGGTTTTTGATTTGATGAGTATTTTTTTTTATTTTGATTTATATTTTGTTTATTTTATTTATTGCGGTTAATAATGAAAAACTATAAAATTTGTAATTCAAATCAAATGGTATTTCAAATTGCAAACAAAATAAACTATGCCTATTATATTATATATAATTATATAAGATACAACAGTAACAAATTTCCTTAATTTATTTTAAATTTTTAATTTAACTTAAAAATAAATTATTTATTTAATATTTTAATTTAGGCTTAGCTGATATAAAATATAAATATATTATATTAGTAGATAAAATTAAAATTGATTGGCAGAAATGTAGATCCAGATGTAATAATGTAATATTAGATGAAAAAAGTTTAATCTGACAATCTCAATGAAATAATTAATTATTTTATTTTATATTTATTTTATAAAAATAATATAATTGACAAAGTTTGAAGCAAAATGTTGTTTATAATAATATTAAAATTTTAAAATTAAATTAAAATTAGGCTTTCTGTTTCTAATGTATGATGTTTAGTTCCTCTTAGTAATGTATGATGTCAAGGGGCTTTACTATTAAATTAACTTTTACTTTATCTTATTCTTAGTGTTTAGTTGATTCAAAGTTAAAATAATTAAAATTAACATATAAAATAGGCATAAGAATAATATTATCTTATATCTTCTGATTAACTTTTGCATGAAAAGCAAAAAATTATGCAAATTTGTTTCTTTATTACTATAATAGCTCTACCACATGTTTACATGCAGGTGATTTTTTTCTCACTATTGGTAAATAGCTAGGATTGCTGGTGCTAGGGTAAAATTAGTGGCATGGGATATTGAAATACAATATGAAAGTGAAGGACTTCACATCATGGCTCAATTCTTTGCTATGTGTTTATTTAAACAAATTAAAAAAAGTTTTAATTAGCTGCCTATGATATAATTATGCCAGAAAGATCCCTGACATATTGATAAAAATTTCTTGCTGATATATAATTGGAAATATGAAATGGGTTCTCAGTCTGAATGTTTTTGTCAGTATGTTAATGGAAGTTTCATGTCTATTGGCAGGATGTATTAAATAATTCAAATGGTTAGGAGAGTTCCATAATATATTGGTTATGGGTTGTAGGTGATAAAAAGTTAAGTTATTTAGTAGAATTGGAACAAAATAGAGTGTTAATCAATCATTTATATAGCACTTTTCTCTAACTGATCAATATAAAATAAGATAAAATATGTTAGACAAGAATGAAAATTGTCAAAATTTGATAGGGCATTGTAATTAGAAACAAAACTATATACTTTTTTGTGAGATTTTTTTCAGATGTTTTAATTTTGTTGCTAATATTTTATCATCTTTTCTGATTTATCATAATATTTTATACTTTCACTGCCTTATAACTTTTCATTTCTTTTTCTTAATTATTTCAGTCATTTCATTACCTTTCAAGTCACTACTTCATCTGAGATCAAATGCAAATATGTGCTTTTGTTTTATTAGCAAATCGTATTTATGCTTTAACTTTAATTAAGCTCCAAAATAACGAAAAAGCATTTGTAATTTTTAACAGAGAATGCTGAAAGGATATTCGTTTGCAAAGATTTATCACGATATAAAGGAGTATAAAATTGCTGCAAAGTTGGTTTTGTGTTTCTTAACAAATTGTCAACTTATAATCTTAATTTTTGTTGTATTTGACATGAACTGTTCGCGATGGATCTTAATAAAACATACCTCACTAACTACTTTAGTAATTTTAGGTGTGCATTCTATTGTACTGGAGGGAAGTTGCAACTGTATGAATGCCAAACTTTAAATTTGCTGTTAAATTTTTTTATAACATTATTGGGTTAATAATAACATTAATCTTTATGTTCGCTTAGCCATTTGCTGGATTTTTTATCTGTGAAGGATAACTTTGCCCCTGCCCACAAATTGTTGGGGCAGATATACGAAGCCACAAAGGCTGACAATGCTCAAATATTGAAGGCATATAAAAAAAGTTATGATATTGATAGTACACAAACAGATATCCTATTGAAAAGTTTGTTTATTTATTAATTTTCATTTTAATCATTAATTATATTCTAACATTTAAAATTTCTAAGTAGGTTACTTTGTTTAACAAACTTTTGCATGTACTGAAGCAGTAACTTTGCCTTGTTGATCTAGTCTAAGTTCGTGTGGGATTCAAATTTTGAATTTTTATCAGACTTTTGTTTCAACGTTCTCACTCGAACTTCAGTTAAAACAAAATGTTAAAATTAGCAAAAATGTAAATCATGCCGTAGCTGAAGGACCTGTTATAGGAAAGCTTAATGGCAAAGGGTTGTCCATTTTGGTTGCTGTTGTCTGTATGCACGACCACTGAGTATCTTATCTGAAAATGATTTAAGGCTTAACTTTTAAAGCATAATAGTATGCTTTTTTAAACATAATTGTGTGATTTCTGCAAACAAAGCACTGACCTGTTTTAATCATTTTGATGGTCTTGGTTTTCATGCGTTTGATGCTCTGCGTAGTGAAATTGAGTGGTAATGGTGAACATAATAAGCTGTATATGACTTAATGACAACATCACCATTACAGTCATGGGAATAAAATTATTTGATCAATCAATCGAAGTTTATTGAGTAGCTAGGATCAATTTTTCGTGCTATGCCAGTGTTGGTATAATAAGCTAAAATAAAATTAAACAAATGCACAAATCTGGCTCCAAACGGATTTGCAAAAATCCAATACCGTATATTGCTGCTGTAGTTTTGTTATTTATTATTCATAATTATTTTTATAAAGGAATTCCTTTTTTGGAAACCCGATTAATACATTAACACTTACATAAACTCACAGATTTCCACAAAAATTATAAATATTATTCTTTTTAAATATTCCAGTTTGTGAATTGTACAGTCAAATGCCAGCTGATAATGATGTCAAGGTTGTTAGCTTTTTGTTGATTTTCATAATTTTTTCAGTTGAAATTAGTGCCTCTTTTTTTTACAAATGAAATGGACCCGGGTATTGGAGATTAATGATATCTTTTTCAGAATCTGGAACTAGGCTTAAATTCTATGTATGCCATATCTTTTTAAATTAAATTGTAAAATCAAACACTTAACTGATAAGCACTGCTTATCTTGAGCCTTACCTGGAAATTTTATTGTTAATGGCCATATATAACAAATTAACTTTATATATATATATATATATATATATATATATATATATATATATATATATATATTGAGACAACACATTGTTCATTGCATAAAAATATAATAGTATAGTGTCGGAAATTTTACAAAAAAAAAGCACAACTGATGGTGTGAGGTAATCTCTTCCTCTATCTTTCTCAGGGAATTTTTTTTTATGGTCCGACAATAATTTTTGTGTATATTTTTATCGTGAGTTCGACCAGTCCTGTGTGGCACTGGGCTTTTCGAATTATATGATTTTACTGAGTAACACACGAACGCGTAAAGAAAAATATTCAATAACAATTTTATTAATCGACGGAAGTAAATGAAAAGGAATTGAACTAAATGAACTCTATAATAATGTAAAATGTCAATGAACAAACTGGAATACAGGAATTAGAACTTCTTCTTGTGGGATCTTCGACTTGGGATATGTTTCTTGCCGTTTAATCGTACAACCTCGACGTGTGTAACCGATAGTGATGTTGATACAACTCCAAGAAATAAAATGAAATGAATGCGGAAAAATTACAAAAAAATCGGAGCCTATGGAAATTGCAAGCTGCGTGTGAAACTATACCAATGAGTATAGAATCCAGCAAAGAACCCTAGGTCCACAAATGGCACAAGAAACAAAACAACGAGACGGATTCGTTTTCACAGAATCCAAGGCCTGTTTTCACTGGGCCTGTCTGTCAGTCGGTCGGCTTTCGCACAACCCTGGCCTGTTTTCACTGGGCCGTCAAGTCTGGTTGGCTTTCGCACAACCAACACAAAACAACAAGAGTCAGAACAACACTGGAAACAAATTGTGTGACTTTAGTACGCGTGTGAAACTATGCCAATGAGCATAGAGTCTCGTACCAAATCCACTTTTGAGAACTTAAGACGTTTCTGAAACTATGCCAATGAGCATAGAATCACGCAGTAAGTCTCTTAGATACCAGAGTAGGCACTGATTATTCGAAGCTGCCTAACTGGTGAAACACAGGCGGACTCTTTTTGAGAACTTAAGACGTCTCCGTGCTAATGAGCATAGAGTATCGAATTAGGTGTCTGAGGGACCAGAATAGGCACTGATTATTCGAAGCTGCCTTACTAGTCAACCTCCATGCTTTTTGCTGTCTCCTTCCTCCACCCTTATCAAAGCAAAATTAGATTTTGTTTCGGGTGTTTTTAAACATAAAAATTTCCAAGGTATGTCCAATTAATCAAAAAAAAAAACTACTAATTAAATTTTAAAATAATTTGTAATAATTTATGACGTCATCTAAATTGCAAAACAATCACCTATCGAGTAAATTAACTTGCACCATGCCCCCTATCGAGTGAATAAATTTTGCGTTGAAAACTTTTTGAAGTATTTTTAGTCAGTATTAATTCATAATTCTGAGAATAGGTTTGACCAAGATCAACTATACAAGGAAGTGTTTTGTTTGTTATATAAAAATTCATTCATTTCTTTTTACTCTTGGTTGTTTTTATAGCTGTCTACAATCATGATGAACAATACATGTTTTTTGTATGCTTAAAAAAATGTTCACTTGAGGCTTTTATTATTTACATCAAAAAAAATTATAAATTCGTTAGCTGTTCAATTAGTTACACCATTTAATTTGTTAGTGCCTATTCGAGAAATTAATATTTATTGTGAATTGTGATGCTATGTTTTCTGGTGTTTTAAAATGTTTAATTGTGTTGAAATAGTAAAATATTTAGGATCCAAACCAATATGGGATAGGTGTCACAAAATGTTATTTCAGCAATGATTTTGTTAAAATTTTATTTGTGTTCACAATATCAAGGCCCACAACAATTCTTTCGGATTCGTATTTATTTTAATGCTTCAAAATACTTTTTTATACAGATTTGGTTAAAAAGAGCAGAAACATGCTTTCCTCTAAATGATACAATCCTGCAATTGAAAGTAATTGTATTACATTTATCATGTATTTTACTTTCAGCAGAGACAATGAGTCTATTTACCACAAGATGTTATTCATTTTATTTACCACAAGATTTGTTTGGTAATGATGGAAGTCTGGTAGTCTCAGATGTCCATTAAATAAACCCTTTAGTTAAGACACTTGTATCTGCTTTGGTTAAGACACTTGTATTTTCACAAGCTTATGGAAGCACAAATTCTGTGGCATTTACAATAGATTTTTGATGAGTTATGAATTAGATGAGTAAGTTAAGTAGATAAGTAACCTTTGACACAGCAATTAAATTTGGGGAAATTACAATTTTGATTAGCTAGTTTGATGTCAACAGAAAATGCATACCTATGCTTGCAAATATTACAATTGCAAAACTATTATTTTAATATAAAAATTAGTTTTTTGAGGAAATACTTGAAACCAGACATTTGAAAGCTATAGAATGCCCTGAACATGGTTTCAGTTAGTTTAAGGTATTTCATTAGAACCAAATTGTGCAGCTGGCTTGAAATTTGTTGGGTCCCTTATTTCTACTCTGAGCATTAGCCTAATATAATTAAATTTTGGATTTTAATTGAATGCACCTAATAAGTGTAAATGTTTTGAAGTATTTTATATTTTAAATGGTTGGTTCACTGTTGCATTTGTATTTTAATTTAGGCTAAAATAAACCTTGATCTGTCTGAGGATAACTTAGATTCACAGAATGATGCAGAAGGTCTCATTAATCTCTATGAATCCGAAACAGTGAGTAACTTCCATTTTGTTTTTTAAATGTTGCTTCAAAACCCAAAAAATATGTTTCCACAAGTTGCCTTTAGTGTCTGTCAGTCTGTCTTGTTCAAATTTGTTCATGCATTTATTGGTAAATGTAAGAGCTTATGCTAACAATTAATTTGTGGAATGCACTGTTTTGTAATAAACCAGCAGGGGTGGGATAAACTTTTGACAAATTATTAGTTTCACATTCTTATAACCCACTATAATTTACTTTTTGCTGTCATATACTCAGCGTATATGATGAGGTGTTTGTGCGTGCACATAAATACATGTGTACGTCGTGTGAAAAGGATATATAGCCTTTGTGGAGAAGATGGCTGCTTCAAATAAATGGTTTAAGATATGAAGAACATAATAAAGATATATAGATAATATATCTGTAACATTGTAAGTGGTTCTGCGTATGTCAGATCTGCAATAAAAAAGACTAAAAAAATTATTTTCCGCAATCCACAGTATAAGTTAATCTATCCAAACAAGATTTTTCTCATTCTGCTTAATTTGTAATGCACGTTTACTGAGATAAAGAATCGTTGGAAGCATTTTGACCAATGACTCTCCATCAATACTTTCATGCCATTGTAACAAATAGCCATAACCTCACTTGAATGCTAAAAAATTGCAATATTTATAAACTGGCATATAAGATACTTTGTGTAATATGAAATTAATGCAACTTATGATTAATGTTGATTTCATTCTTGTAAGTGTAAAATAGTAATAATTTATTAAATTGTTTTCACACTTTTCAAATGTAGCTAATTAGAGTCATTGATATTAGTACCATTGTACACTGGAGTTTATATGTTGCTGTTGTGAGCTGCACCTTTGTATGGGATTTTTTATTTTGTCCCATTTGACAATCAAATCAAATGTTATACAAATGCTATTAAAAATTTCTTCTTTGTTAGTTTCATCTAAATATATCACATTTGTGAACCTGGTTATTCATTGAAAACGTTTATTTATTTTTTAAAAGAAAGCATTTATTTATTTTTATCAATAACTCTTGTCTTTGAAAATTCATTTTAGAAGAAGTATATTTAAATTTTTTTAGAGAAAATATCCTAAAGACCTGACCAGGAATTGTAAATTGCTGAAGTTGTACTGGCAAACTGGAAGATTGGATGATGCTTGCGCTCTTATTTTCAATATCGATCTTGTCAGCACTGCATCTAAACAAACTATGGCTTGGTATAGATTGGTCATTGATGTCCTTGAGGTTTGGTCATTTTTCAGTCATTGTTGTTTATATATATATATATGGCCGTTGAGTTAGTTTTAAATAATCATATAAATAAAAGTGGTATTTGGCCTTCGCATCAATCTGAATACAGAAGGTTTCATTTGACTGAAACAGCTCTATCGGATAAATTCTCTCATGTTTATTCAGCAGTTAATGTACAAAAAGTAACTTTGTTGACATTCCTGGACATGAGTTCGGCGTTCGATACTGTGAATCATAAAATCCTGCTGGACAGACTGAAATATTGTTATGGTTTAAATAAGATTGCGTTAGTGTGGTTCGAATCATTTCTTACTGGTCGGACTCAGCAGATTTCTTACTCAGGTGGTCTCTCGGAACCAATGAAACTTACGTCAGGGGTGCCTTAAGGATCTGTTCTTGGACTGATTCTTTTTAATTTATACGTTGCAGAGATATTGGATTTACTGAATAAAGATGGTTATTATTGCCATGGGTACGCAGATGACATGCAGATTTGCGTTTCATGTTTCCCAGATGAGATGCCTACCGTATTAGAGAAACTGACAAAAACTATATCTGATGTCGACTTGTGGCTGGGTCAAAGTAGGCTAAAGTTGAATCAGACTAAGACTCAGTTCATGTTGGCTGGTACATGGCAACAAACGTCAGCGGTTGAACATTCATCGATTAACATCAGCATGACTGATATAAGTTTCAGTAAAACGGTTACCAATTTGGGAATTGTGATGGACTCCCGTATGACAATGGGTCCACAAGTCAGTCTATTGGTTAAAAAATGTATGTTCCAACTACGTCAATTATGTCAAGTCACAAAATCGGTAGATAGAGATACAATGACTCTATTAGTACATGCTTTCGTCAACTCTAGATTGGATTATTGTAACAGTCTTCTATATGGCATAGCTGATAAACTGTTGTCTAAACTTCAGATGGTTCAGAATCAGGCTGCTAGAATGATATATCGCAAATTAAAATTTGATCATGCATCACCAATTCTAAAGGAGTTGCATTGGCTGCGTGTTAAACAAAGAATCATGTTCAAGTTGGGTGTAATGGTATTTAAAAGTTTGAATGGTCTGGCTCTGAAATATTTAGAAGATAAGTGTATTCGAGTTTCATCTATGTCATCACATGGGCGTCTAAGGTCTGCTGATTCCAACACGCTGTATGTTAGAGATCGGAATCTGAAAACAGCAGATAGAGATTTTGCAGTTGCTGGGCCTATTTTTTGGAACAGCCTACCTATCGAACTACGTATATCCGGGTTATCATTAGCTGAGTTTAGAAAAAGTCTAAAGACATACCTATTTGGTAACTCCTAGTGATCTCAACCGATGATGGCTTCGCTGTCAACATGCTTCATACGAGGAGAGTGCTGATGAGAAGCAATTATAATTGGCGCTATATAAATACAATATTTGATTTGATTTGATATATATATAAAATACATGTATGTATAATAACAACAACAACACACATTTAGACGACCGTTTGGCTACCTA